ATCTTAGGAAAATGGCTCACGCACTTATAGAAGCTGGCAAGTCCCAAGTTCTTGGATCAAATGTCAAGCTGGAGGCTTTTCTTGACTCACGAAGCTCCAGGGGCTTATGAGATCAAGGTTGACAGGCGGTATAGCGACTGTTGACTCTGATGAATGACGAATCCAAGATCACTAGGCCAAATGGTGGATTGTTCGCTCATGGACAGTTGTAAGCAACACAACAGGATCCAGATCCACAGAAGAGTGTCTCATTTTCCCAGGATGTCCATAAATATATTGGAAGAAGGCCACACACCTAGGGAAACTCCTTTTCAACAGATTGGCTGCTCAAAACATATTCATCTGATCTGATCATGGGAATAACCCACATCACAAATGCTTAAGCCACTCAGAATTGTAGTCCAGCCAAATTGATGCATAACTCTATCACATTTGAGTTTCAGTTTCTGAAGGTGGATGCATAGAACACTGATTTTAGACTTTTCTTTTTTTTTTTTTTTTTCCTAATGTAAGCATTTAATTTTATAAATTTCCCTCTAAGTACTGCTTTAGCTGTACAAATTTTGGTTTGTACACAAATTTTGATCTGTTGTGTTTCATTTATATTCACTACAAGGTATTTTCTAATTTTCTCTCTGATTTCTTCTTTGAGCAAAGGATTATGTAAAAATGTGTTGTTTACTTTCCAGATATTTGTGGATTTTCCAGATAGCTTTTTGTTATTAATTTCTCTTGATTTCACTATGGACATAGAAATAACTCTATATGATCCTTATAAATTTGAGACCTATTTTATGTGTTAATATGAATGAAAAGTACATTCTACTTTTGTTGGGTGGAACATGCTATTAATATCAATTCTCTCAAGTTGGTGGATGGTATTATTCAAGTCTGTATTGCTTATATGACTTGTCTGTCAGTTTGTTGTATTGTGATGGCTTGTGTGCTGCTGTGAGGCTGGAGGCTGTGCCACCAGTGTTTCAAACACCAGCAGGGTTGCACGTGGTGCACAGGTTGCAATGCAGCTTCTAGACTGAGACAGACTTGAAAGAATGAAGAGGCCATCCACTTCTCAAAGAATTGGCCAGGGAAAACCTTATGAATAGCAGAGAAACACTGTCTGATACATTACTGCACAACTTTATGAATAGCCTGGAAACATTGTCAGATATAGTACCAGAAAACGAGCCCCTTTGGTTGGAAAGTGCTCAGAATATGATTGGGAAAGAGCTGCCTCATCAGAGTGGAACCAACCTTAATGATACAGATAAACTAAAGCTTTTGGAACCTCCATATGCTGATGTAGCATAACTCAAATTGATGAGAAACAACTGCAAACATCCACTAATAATCAGAATATGGAATGTATGAAGTATGAATCTAGGAAAATTAGGAGTTGTCAAAAATGAGATAGAATACATAAAGATTGATATTCTAGGCATTAGTAAGCTGAAATGAACCGGTTTTGGCCATTTTGAATCAGACAACCATATGATCTGCTCTGCCGGAAATGACAAATTGAAGAGGAATGGTGTAGCATTCATCAACACAAAGGAAGTTTCAAGTCTGTCCTGAAGTACAATGCTGTCAGAAATAGGATAATATCCATATGCCTACCAGGAAGACCAATTAATACTACTGTTATTCAAATTTATGCACCAATCACCAAAGCCAAAGATGAGGAAATTGAAGATTTTTATCAACTTCTGTAGTCTGAAATTGACCGAACATGCAGTCAAGATGTGTTAATTATCACTCACTGGCGACTGGAATGCAAACATTGGAAACAAAGAAGAATCACCAGCAGTTGGAAAATTTGACCTTGGTGACAGAAATAATGCTGGAGATTGCATGAGAGAACTTTGCAAGACCAATGACTCATTCATTGCAAATACCTTTTTTCAACAATGCAAATGGTGGCTATACATGTGGACTTCACCAGATGGAGTACACAGGAATCAGATTGACTACATGTGTGGCAAGAGGCAATGGAAAAGCTCAATATCTTCAGCCAAAACCTGGCCAGGAGCTGATTGTGGAACAGACCATCAACTGCTCATATGCAGGTTTACCTTGAGGTTGAAGACAATTAAAATAAGTCCACAAGACCCAAAATATGATATTGAATATATCCCTCCTGAATTTAGAGACCATCTAAAAATAGATTTGATGCATTGAACACTAATGACCAAAAACCAGAGGAATTATGGGATGACATCAAGAACCTTATCCATGAAGAAAGCAAAAGGTTATTAAAAAGACAGAAAAGGAAGAAAAAAACAAAATTGATGTCAGACAAGACTCTGAAACTTGCCCTTGAGTGGAAAGTAACCAAAGCAAATAGAAGAAATGACAAGACAAAAGAGCTGAACAGAAGATTTCAAAGAGCAGCTCAAAAAGACAAAGTCAGTTATTACAATGAAAGGTGCAAAGATCTGGAGTTAGAAAACCAAAAGGGAAGAACACACTCAGCATTTTTCAAGTTGAAAGAACTGAAGAAAAAATTCAAGCCTCGAGTTGCAATATTGAAAGATTCTATGGGCAAAATATTGAATGATGCAGAGAACATCAAAAGAAGATGGAGGGAATATACAGTTACTGTACCAAAAAGAATTGGTTGGTGCTCATCCATTTCAGGAGGTGGCATATTATCAAGAAGCAATGGTATTGAAGAAAGAAGTTGAAGCTGCAGTGAAGGAACTGGTGAAAAACAAGGCTCCAGAAAATGATGGAATACTCACAGAGATGTATTCAAACGGATGCAGCACTGGAGGCACTCACTTGGCTATGCCAAGAAATTTGGAAGACAGTTACCCAGCTACCTGGCCAACTGACTGGAAGAGATCCATATTTTACTCATTCCAAAGAAAGGTGATCCCACAGAACGTGAAAATTACCGAACAATACCATTAATAATCACGCACAAGTAAAATCTTACTGAAGATAATTCAAAAATGGTCGCAGCAGTGTACTGACAGACAGCTTCCAGAAATGCAAGCTGGATTCAGAAGAGGACATGGAACAAGGGATATCATTGCTGATGTAAGGTGGATCTTGGCCTGAAAGCAAAGAATACCAGAAAGATGTTTACTTGTGTTTTATTGACTATGCAAAAGCATCTGATTTTGTGGATCATGACAAATTATGGGTGACATTGAGAAGAATGGGAATTCCAGAACACTTAATTGTACTCATGAGGAACCTGTACATAGTCCAGGAGGCTGTTGTTCAAACAGAACAAGGAGACACTGCATGGTTTAAAATCAAGAAGGGAGTGTGTCAGGGTTGTATCCTTTCACCATACTTATTCAACTTGTATGCTGAGCAGATAATCCAAGAAACTGGACTATGTGAAGAAGAACGTCAGGACTGGAGGAAGAATCATTAACAACCTGAGATACACGGATGATACAACTTTGCCTGCTGAAAGTGAGGATGACTTGAAGCACTTACTGAGGAAGATTGAAGGCTACAGTCTGCAGTATGGATTACATCTCAATATAAAGAAACCAAAAGTCCTCACAGCTGGACCTATAAGATGCATCATGATAAATGAAGAAAAGATTGAAGTTGTCAAAGACTTCACATTGCTTGGTTCTACAGTCAATGCTAATGGAAGCAGCAGTCAAGACATCAGACGACATATAGCACAGCAAATGTCTCTTTAAGGTACTGAAGAGCAAAGATGTCTCCTTGAGGACTATGGTGTGCCTGACACAAGCCATGGTATTTTCAGTTGGCTCATATGCATGTGAGAGCTGGACAATGAAGAAGAAAGACCGAGGAAGAGTTGGTGCTTTGGAGTTGTGATCCTGGCAAAGAATACTGAAAATACCAAGGACTGCCAGAAGAACAAACAAATCTGTCCTGGAAGAAGTGCAGCTGGATGCTTCTTGGAAGCAAGAATGGCCAGACTTCGTCTCATCTACTTTGGTCATGTTTGCAGAAGGGACTATTCCCTGGAGAAGGATATCATGCTTGGTAAGGTGGAGGGTCGATGAAAGAGGGGAAGGCCCTCAATGAGATGGATTGACATAGTGGCTGAAGCGATGTGCTCAAATATAGCAAGGATCGTGGAGCTGGCATGAGACTGGGCAGTGTTTCGTTCTGCTGTGTGTAGGGTTGCTATGAGTCGGAGACAACTTGATGGCACCTAACAACAACAATATATTGCTATTTATTTTCTGTGTAATTACTCTACAAATTATTGAGATAGAAGTACTCAAGTTTCAAACTACAGACTGTATTTATACATTTTTCCTTTCAATTCTATCAGTTTTTTCTGCATATATTTTCTATTAATAGGTGTATATATATTTGGGATTGTGACATCCTTTGATGAATTGAATCCTTTGTCATTATGAAATGTCCCTTTTTAATCTCTGGTAATCCTGGTTCTGAAATTTCCTTTTTCTGAAAGTTACTTTGTACAATATCAATATAGCCATTCCAGCTTTCTGGGGATTATTGTTTGCATGGTCTTTTTTTCTATCCTTTTACCTTTGACCTGCCCGACTTACAGTTTAATGGGTTTGTTGTAGGCAGAGTATATATAAACTCACTCACTGCCATCTAGTCGATCCTGACTCAGTGACCTCATTGGGTTTCTGAGGCAGTAAATCTTTAGGGAAGTAGATTGCCCTATTTTCCTTTCTGTGGAGCATTAGCAATCAAATGCCTTAGGCACTACACCACCAGAGCTTCATTCAGAGTATATATAGGTGGGTATTGTTAATTTTTAATCCAGTCTGACAGTCTCTGCCTTTTAATTGCCTTCATTTAATGTACAGATAATGTAATTTATTTGGTTGGGTTTAAATCTAAGATCTTGCTTTTTATTTTTCCTGTTTGTCCCATTTTTTTTTTTTTTT